GTACTGTAGTTTTGTCTGATTTATCTTGCGTTTACTGCTTTCATTTCAATTATAAAGACAAGTATTTTAGAACCTGAGATGGAAAATCGGGAAATGGCTGTTAAATGCCCAACCTCAACTATATCATATACATATAGGAATGCAAGATTTTGTGCATTCTATTCAAATTACGCACAACAACACAGACCAACAATACTTTATTCATTAAATTTCAATGGCAAACCGAAACGGTAATGTTTTATATTGATTACTGAACGATGGAATTTATTTTATTAATACTGTCTGTGAGATGAGATACAGTATACACTACACAGCTGGACCTGAGCTGGTGTTTCATGAATATTTTTGCCAACTCGAATTTTATATTTGATTTTTAACCATTAATTTAAGCTGCAATGTTCCCAAATATACCTTATTTTATTGTTTTATTCTGGCTAACGCAGACAATTTTTATCTAATTTGCCAAGGGGATCTTATACCATAAACCTCCGACTATAAGCCCTGGGCTTATATGCTTTCGTAAGCGATTTTTGATGGGCTTATACAAGGGGGGGGGGGTTATATATGCGGGGGGCTAATACATGGATGATCTTTTGTGTTAGTAATAAACAAATCAGACATAAACAAGTCAGTCATAAACAGGAAAATATACATCCATTAATAACGTGCTTTGATTAACATAACATATAGTCGGCTATAAAGACAATGACAATGTTTTTAAATATCGTTCTCTGCTATATTAAAAGACAATGAAAATGTTGAATAACGTAGTGGGCTACTGGGCTTATATTCGGGGGACTTATATTTGGGGGGCTTATATTTGGGTGTGCTTATGTTCGGGGGGGGCTTATATTTGGAATGAATTGAGCGTTAGTATATGTGGTGGGCTTATATTCCGGGGGCTTATATTCGGGGGGGGCTTATAGTCGGGGGGGGGGGCTTATAGTCGGAGGTTTACGGTATAATGACAGAGATAATTTTACCTATCATTGGGCTATCAATGGGAGAGTCCTGAGTATTAATATTTAAGAGTGAAAATATTGATTATGATATAATGTTCACATTATAAAATCCCCAAACATAATTCTCTTTCTCAACCATGTCAAAAGATACACTAAACCTAATAAGTTCTTATTGCAACAGATTCTCATTTTAAAGTAGAATAATTGCCACATGTAGCACTTGTTAAGGTGAGATAGCACATCTCTTATCCATCCAGGACAAATGACCCATTTGACACAGTTAATTAACACTATAATGGGGGTAATTTTTCTTTCGTAAAATGGCAATGTATCGATATGATTTTTCAATGGCAAAATGCAATTGGACTGTACGGGCCAGTCTGTACCAGTGACTAATTATATAGTTAAGCTAGGTGACACTTGCTCGATGGCTTCCCTGTTAGATACTGTACTCCTTTTGAAAAATATTAATTGCTACATGTAGTGTTAAGGTGAGATCATGGCACATCTCTTATCCGTCCTGGACAAATGACCCATTTGACACGGGTAACATTATAATGAAGTAGTTTTTCATTCTTGAAATGGCGATGTATTGACATTATTTTTCAATGGCAAAATGGAATTGAACTGTAACAGTGATTAATTATATAGTTAAGGGACACTTGCTCAATGGCTACCCTCTGTTATATACTGTGCATACTCCTTTTGAAGTAATTAAAATTGCTACATGTAGTGTTAAGGTGAGATGGCACATCTCTTATCCTATCATTGCATGTGATCAATGCTTATTTGTCTCAACAAAGAGATGGTTTGCGCTCTAGCTAGCTATCTCATTGACAATTAGATAACGAGTAGCGTAAAGCCAATCAGAATACAGCATTTGCATTAGAACTTGACAACATTTAAAATTACTAAATATATATACTGTATAGACTAATGTGAAAATGAATACTTTTAGGATGACGACCCCATTGTCCATTGATGAAGAAGTGAGGAAATCAACCTACAGTATAGCTATCCTTGAATCTTGGCATCAGGTGACATTGCATCCTTGGACCCATTGTACATTGCTGCCGTGGGGGAAATTTACTTGCGTTTTGCTGGTAAAAATATTCCACATACTTATTGCTACATTCCATGTTCTAAATATGGAATACACTCCAGGTGTTTCGAGTGTTTATGCATTTCTAGAATTTAGAAGCTGTCACCTTAAACCGCCCTGCTGATGCCGAGAACAAAATTTCTGTACAACAACTTTTAAGTGAGCTTGGACTCTGAAATTAATCGTGATAAATACTTAGTTCATATAAATTCATGCATGTTAAAGGTATTTCTTGTCAGCGAGTAATTTATAATAATAACCAATTTTGAACCTATATTTCTCTTTTGTGTGTGTCTTAATGTGCCTGGTTGAAAGTGTTAAATCAACACCTTAAATCTGGTGTTATTTTAGCGCCAGATAGGAAGAGGTGTTGCTTTGGCACTGCCAAATCAGGTGTTATTTTAACGCCACACTATAGGTGTTAAATCAACTCTTAAAACTGGTGTCACTTTAGCACTTAAAAGTGGTGTTAGTTTAACACTATAAACAGGTGTTAAATTAACCCCCAAAACTAGTGCTAATTTAACACTGAAAATGGGTGTTGTTTTAGCACCATAACTAGTGTTATTTTAACACTTTTTTAGTGGTGTTAAAATAGCACCAAAAAGTAGTGTTATTTTTTACCTAATTTTTTAACACCACTTTTTGGTGTTATTTTAACACCCTAAAATTAACAGTGCATTATTTACAAAGCAACAGTCACAACGAACAACACGAACGACACTAAACACTACATTGGTATGACAGCGACTACATTTAAGGAACGTTACGCTAACCACACTTCATCTTTTCGTCATAAAAAAGACTCAAACAAAACGGAACTTTCGAAACATATTTGGAAATTAAAAGAAAACAATCAGGATTATACCATCAAATGATCAATTTTAAAACACGCTATTTCGTACACAGGGGGATCAAAACGCTGCAATTTATGTTTGGAAGAAAAATTTTGCATTTTGAAAGACATAAACAAAGAAAATTTACTCAATAAAAGAAGCGAAATTTTCGGCAAATGTCGTCACAAAAACCGGTTTCGAGTAAACAAGGTCGTTAACAAAACCTAATGACTCAAGCATGCATTGTTTCACCTAAGCATTGTTTCGCCTACACGCATTCCGCACATTCTTTCGATAGCATAAAAGCAACCTACAATTTCGAAATTATTCACCACCTGATGATTCCTATACGGATGAAACAGACTGTTGTGGTTTTTGAGGTAAAACGAAAAACTATATTACGCTCTATCTATATGGTATTGAGCACTGTTTGTGTTTCGTAAACCAAAATCTTAAGCTATATTTGCACCCGGTAATCGGTTGTGCACTCTTGTCTACGTTATTCATTTTATTTCTACTTCAAACATGCGACAATTTCGATTCGATTATTCACTAAAGAATATTCCTATACCATCACAGGATGCTTACCTAAAGAATTTGATTGAGAAAGTGGAGAGCGTAACAAAACGTATGAGATGGAAAGCTAATTTCTTCCTAAAAGGGTCAACGACTCAAAACCAAAGCAACCTTTTCGGCCTTTCGTCTAACAAATCGCCTCCCTCAATTCCACTTTTGAAACCTTTCGAAGACGACTTGATAAAACTAATTGAAAACGTAAAATTCCGGCGTCCTAAAGACCAATTTCAGACATCTTTGGCTAACGATTTGAAGAAAATTAATTCATCCCCCAACATTTTCATTTTCGCGGACAAAACTAGAAACATTTACGAAACGTCACTGAACGCACACACCGAACTCTTACATGATAACATCACGAAAACGTACAAACACGGATCAGAGGACTTCATACATGAAATTGACTCCGAATTGAAAGAAATTTCGAGTAAGTTAGGAATTGGCGACAGAATTGAACGAATGAAAAAACGCGAAGCATTTATATCTTTAAAAGATCACAAAGAAAATTTCGATTTTTTATTATTTATTCTGTTTGAATTTTATAACAAGTTAGAATTAAGAATTTTAATTGTAATGTATATATGTTATATATTGGAACGTTTTTGATTGACTGAAATGCGTGCTCAATAACTCGAATGAGGAAGGGAAAAAAGCGCGGGAAATTTTGCCTGTTAATCGATAAAACCTAATTAACGTACTATTTAAAACATGAGCAACTGTGTTTTATCAGATATGTAGGTCTGATAAAACACACACAGCGCCGAATGTTTTTTAAAATTGCTTCAAAAACGATCGACCTAGTAAGATGATTGGCGAAGTAATTTTTAAAAAATATTTATAAATGAGTTTTTGAATTGAGTTTTTGAATTGTTCAATAAAAACTCTCAGCCATTTGCATATAATTGTTGGTATTTACAATAAATTTGCACTGCATTAACCGCTAAAAACTCTTACACAAACGCGATTTACCCCATATCAAATGCACACACATAACATCTAAATTTATAATCATGTGATGAGCACATTCTGCGCATGTGCGAAGTCTTTGGGGGTCATGATGCTCAAACGTGTATATTAGTATATGTGCATGGCATCGCATATTTTACAGTAGTTGGAAACGTTTCTAGCAACTCCAGTTTATTTAGTACGGAGTTGTGTAATATTAATAGCATTTAATATATAATTTTTATTGCATGCAGCTTTAATCACAGAAATTATGGATCTTTTAATAAAGTTGCTTGTGTGATGTTACTGTGAGTGTATATCCACACCGGGCAGGCCTGAAAAATATGCCTGGCCACGGTGGGATTCGAATCTACGACCTTTGGAATACTAGCCCAACACAGCAAATGTTTTAAGTTGTTTACCTAAGGTTATGATTGCAGCTGGAAAGTTTTATTGAGCAAAAGCTGACAAATCATAATATATCATTTTGTTCTTTCACTTAGATCAAAATTAAAGTTCATTTTATGAAGTGTCCTCTTAGTTGAGCGCATCGCACTGACAATAAGTGGTTCTAATATTATGGAGGAAAATATAACACGTGTCTCAAATGGATCTGGAAGCCTTTGTAATCCCTTGACGACTGGCGCGATTTTATTTAGCACGCAAGTATCTTTTTCTCTGATGGCAAACTTTCTTGTTGTTTTCTTGTTCGCCTGTCGCAGACATCTGCTTTGCAATCCTCATAACCGTTGTATTTTAAGTTTATCGATCACTGACATTCTCACATCCATTTCTGTTTTCACAAGTCCGAATTTCGTATTAGGCGAAAACGTTTACCACCCAAAAGGACATAATTACTTAACACGAGAACTTTACTGCCGTATCTTATGGAGCAATTTTTTACCGTTTGCTCTTGGAGTCACATCGCTTTATACATCCGTGGTGCTTTCATTCGAACGTTGGTTGGCTGTGAGACGAAGTATTTTCTACAAGAGAAGATTTAAAATTCGTCATATGAATGTGTTAATCATGGCCTCTTGGATTACAGGTTTTGCAGCAGAGGTTCTTGTAACTATTTTTGTTGAAGGTGTTTATGATAAACCCACAGAAATCTGTCGACCTATTTTAGTACAGAATAAGATATCGACTATATGCCTTTCGACTGGACTCTTTCTTTTTGTAATAGTTATTCCATTGGCGCTTATTATACTGGCGTACATTGATGTATTTCTCGGTATCAAGACATCACTTCGATTCGCAGCGTCTGCTAGAGCTGAAAATATGAACAATATTAAAAGACTGAAGAAAGTCACTAAAGTTGCGGCCATAACAACATTTGTGCTGGCAGTTTGCTGGCTGCCAAGTTCTGTTTTATTCTACTATTCGCTATTGGTAAATGATCCCCTATATGATAAACGTAATCCGTTTGTGATGTTTGTTGCTTTACTTGTCTTTAGTAATTGTTGTATCAATCCTTGTATTTACGTGTTTTCAAACCCTGAATTAAGGAATGCTCTCAGGGACATGTTTTGTTAGTATGGTCATAATAATATGTGCATGTGGATAATAATACACGAACACTTTTATTTTACAAATCCTACAATCCTCTCATAGCTTACTTGTGTTATTATATTAAAAAAGTATTTCTGCTATATTATAAATAGTCTCCAATTTAGTTCAGTTTTTATAACTGTTTTATATAGTTTTTTCCAGTTATTGTTGGAATTATTTTATTTGTTATCGTTTATGCTGCATGTATACGTGCACTTTTCAGTATATTTTAGAAATTCCTTGAAATCCGAGCAAAGTGTACGTGGAAAGTAATTAAGGGAAGATGAATACCAGTTATAAATTGCTTGTTTTAAAACTGTTCAATTGTTGCAACCTAAACTTTAGCAAGGCAAATATATAAAACCCAATAATGCTGTAAAAGTCAAGTCCCATAGTCATTGTATCGTTTCTTTACAGTTATGTATTCTATTTACATGACATTTATTTCACTGGAATCTTATTTCAGATGTTTCTAAAATCTCGCACATTCCCGACCCAAATCCATTCCTGACGATATTTTTTGAGATCACTCGGATAACCATCCATGCACCATGAAATATAGACACGCGTAATTTGCCATCATTGATTAACTTTTTACTCCGCTAGCTTTCCTTTATTAAAATTGTGTGCTCCAGCTGCTGAAGTGTCAAAACGGCGGGGAGTTTCATTATTTATGTGTAAGAAAGATCAGCATTTTAATTATGTTCTCTGACATAGAGAATAAATCAAAATTTAATTAATTAAGTGTTCCGTTTATTTGATCGAACTGCGTTTCGAATAGGTTTTTCTTCATTAATGAGCGAGTATATATAACCGTATAGGATCCAATGGATCCGGAAGTCTTCGTCACCCATCAAGTAATGGCGCGATTTTATACAGTGCTTAATCATCTGTTTCTTTGATGGCAAACCTTCTTGTTGTTTTCTTGTTCAGCTGTCGCAGACATCTGCTTTCCAATCCTCATTACCGTTGTATTTTAAGTCTAGCGATTACTGACATCCTAATATCCGTTTCTGTTTTGTTCAGTCCGCGCTTTACCTTGGGTAAAAAATTTTACAACCCAAAAGCACATAACTACTTCACACGAGAATTTTACTGCCGTATCTTATGGAACAATTTCTTAACGTTTGTTTGCTCTTGGAGTCACATCTCTTTATGCATCCATGGTGCTTTCGTTCGAACGTTGGTTGCATGGCAGTGAGACGAACTATTTTCTACAACAGTCGATTTAGAATTCGTCATATGAATTAATCATGGCCTTTTGGATTACAGGTTTTACAGCAGAAGTTCCTGTAACGGTCTTAACTGAAGGTGTTTACGTATTTATATTGTAGTACAGAATAAGATATAAACTATATATGCCTTTCGATTGAACTATTTCTTCTTCAATTTGTTATACCACTGACGCTTATTACATTGGCATGCATACATTGATGTATTTCGTGGTATCAAAGCATCACTTCGATTCGCAGTGTTTGCTAGAGCTGAAAACGTCAACGGTATCATATAAAACGAAATTAACGTTGGAAATAAAACGAAAACATTTAAAATACATCTTGAGATAAGTAAAATTTATTCTAGTTTTGTGTTTGAACTATAATTTTAAAAAATATCGCTTTTATACTGCGTTACTGGTCTTTCGCGTGCTTATTTACATGTCGTCTTTGTGTGTATTTTTGTCACTCTGAATAAGTCCATATAATAAACAGAACATTAAACGGTTGCGAGAAGATATGGATTTATGTTCTCGTGTCAAAAACAATATCTCACTCGTTCGCTGCGCTCACTCGCGTGAGATATTGTTTTTGCCACTCGAACATAAAATCCATATCTCTTCTCAACCGTCTAATATCCTCTATATATATAACTTCAAATATGAACACTGTACTGTTTTATTAAAATTTTTATCTTCCACCAAATGTCCGAGCAAAAGCATGCATAAAAGGAAGCTTTTGCCATCACCTGCATGTATAGCTTTCTATATGCTTATTATAGGTAATCCTAGCAAAAACTCTTCTTTTTCGAAACCGTTATTGTTTGCCTTTTGGGTGTGAATGAAAATATACGTAACCTGTATATAGGTATACTATTTTCACCCGCATGGATTTTGACACTATATATAGGGCAGCCCAATTTTTCCAATACCATGAATACGCTATATTTCGTTCGCATCATGTGTTTTATACTCATATATACTGTATAGGGTAAATCCAATTTGAACATAATCGTCTTTATTAAATATGTCATTATAACAGTCTGCATGTCGATCGAATTGACGCTTGAAAAAACGAGTCATATTTTCACGTCAAAACATTCGTGAAATCGACATTGTGAGAATGGCGACATCTGATTGGTCCACGTGAAATTATGCTGAAAACCATAATAATAGTTTGACATTTCAGTAGCGTAGGAATGTAGTCACATTCGTTCATGAATGTTTTGACGCTAAAACACAGCAGGTTTTTTGGTTGAGAGGAAGCATGCATCCGCGGTTTTGGTAATTTAAGTGTGCTAAAACTGAAGATATTGTGACAGAGATTTCGCACTCATCAAGCAGTTATCAATCATGTTTCTTTTTTCCAACATAGCTACTGTATATTTATGTTGATTTTTTAAAATTTCACCACGGAGTTTTTGACGATTGTTGTGCACACATGCACCCATTTTTCATTAACATCATGCATATCAATTAGATTAACATGATTGAAAATTTCGCGACCGACATGTTACAAAATGCTTTTTAATAAATTAAGGAAGTATATATAAAAACAGGGATATATGTAAACATATATGTTATTTACCGTCAAGGTAGGCCTATTTTACTCCCTTAATTGATCTCAGAACGTCTCTCGACCTTCGGGTCGCTTCTGAGACCACGGGAAAGTGTTTTTCAGTACCGACATCCCAGGCGGTAGATAATATATTATGGGCTTTTTATATATTTTCCTCCATCAACGTGTCGAAACATGAAAAATATTCAGGACGCTGTTCGTTCATATATAAACTGAAGTTTATGCATATTGCATATTCGAAAACGTTTCTGCCAACTCCAGTTATTAATAATGTAGTGGACGTTGTGGACTAGCAATTAATAGCTTTCAATTATTTTTTGTTGCTATGCTACAACTGAAGAAATGATGGATCTTTTAATTAAGTTGCATGTTTACGTAAGGTGAAATGTCATTGCAGCCAGCCAGTTTTATTGAGCACAGATCAGCCAGATTATAATTTGTTTTAAAGTATCCACATCAGTTGAGCGCATCGCGCTCTTACAATAAGTGCTTCTAATTTTATGGAGGAAAATACAAACCTTTTGTCAAATGGTTCCGGAACCCTTGGTCATTCAGTGACAACAGGCGCAATTTTATACGCTAGCGAAGCATCTTTTTCTTTTATGGCAAACATTGTTGTTGTATTTTTGTTCACCTGTCGCAGACATCTGCTTTGCAATCCTCATTACTGTTGTATTTTAAGTTTAGCGATCACTGACATCTTCACATCCGTTTCAGTTCTCACAAACCCGAGTTTCCTGTTAGGCAAAAACTTCTATAACATAAATGGACATAGGTACTTAACACGGGAACTGTATTGCCGTATTTTATGGAACAAATTTTTACCGTTTGCTCTTGGAGTCACGTCGCTTTATACATCCGTGGTGCTTTCATTTGAACGTTGGTTGGCTGTGAGACGAAGTTTTTTCTACAAGAGCCGATTTAAAATTTGTCAGATGACTATGTTGATCATGTCCTCTTGGATCATAGGTTTTACAGCAGAAATTCCTGTAACTATCTTTACTGAAGGTGTTTATGATAAACCCACAGAACGTTGTCGACATTCTTTACATAATAAGATATCAATTATATGCCTTTCAACTGGACTATTTCTTTTTCAATCTGTTATACCATTGGCGCTTATTACATTGGCATACATCGATGTATTTCGTGGTATCAAAACATCACTTCGATTCGCAGTGTCTGCTAGAGCTGAAAATATCACCAGTATCAAAAGACTAAAGAAAGTAACTAAAGTAGCAGCCATAACAACACTTGTGCTGGTAGTTTGCTGGCTGCCATGTTCTATTTTGTACTACTATTCACTATTAATTAATGAGCCCGTTAACGATCTCCATGATCCGTTTGTGGTGTTTGTTGGTTTACTCGCCTTTGCTAACAGTTGTATAAATCCTTGTATTTATGTGTTTGCAAATTCTGAGTTGCGGAATGCTCTCAAGGGCATATTTCGGTAATATCTTTATATAATGCTCTCAAGGTAATATTTTTATATAATGCTCTCGACGTCATCAGCTTGTATACAAGTATCCCACATGATCTTGGACTCACAGCAATAGAACATTGGTTGGACAAACACCGTGAATCACTGCCACGCCCGTTCCCTAAAGAATTTATTTTGGAGGCCATTTCAATTGTCCTAAAGGAAAATACATTTCAATTTGATGACATTAATTATAAACAAATACAAAGAACAGCAACGGGCACTAAAATGGCCACATTAACTATGGGTTTCATTGAAACACAACTGTACGAAAGGTTCAAGGAAAAGTATGGACAAGACGAAAAAGAAAACTTTGTGAAATTGTTTAAACGTTTCTTAGACGACTGCTTTCTGCCGTGGCAGAAGACAGAAGCAGAACTCGAGGAACTTCATAAAATGTTAAATTCACTTTATTCAAAAATACAGTTTACGATGGAATATGACCATAAGAAACTACCGTTTTTGGATATACTACTCTACAAGAACGCGGAAAAGTTAGAAAGTGATATACATTGCAAACAAACGGACACACACCAATATCTGAATTATCATTCATGTCATCATGGACA